GTTGTAGCACGTGGCATGTAACCCCTGGCCAGTTCTACCCTTTCTTTTCGATCCGTTGACCCTTGTCAACATGCATGAAAAAAAGTTAATTTTGAAACCACCAGTGTATGAAACATTAGCATACAAATAGAAATTGCCTAAAAAAATAGAATTTATTTCAAAACGATTACTAATCTTCATATATCTGTATACTACAATTAATTCTAAATCAGAAACTTAATCATCACCCTAGTATTCGTAAACTTTTCTGCCCAACAGTGTCACTAAATTATTCACAAATAAACCATGAAGAATAATAGAAAAAGCTTCTAATAATCGAATCGATAAGTTTCTAATGTTAGCCAAAATCTTATTGATTTACAGATTTATAAGATTACTATTATTACTTTCGGAACCTGTCCGGACCGGTCTTTGCAAGGACCGATCCAATCCTAATCACGAGGCCTACATAATCTCGAAGGGCTATTTCCTAGCAAGACACATAAATTTATTTTCTTTTTTCACAGTATCTAAAATTTTAGACACGTTCGAAAACAAATGTTATTAACAACTCCTGATTTTTAATAAAAACATAAAGAACTTGTACGTATCTTCTAAAAATGTACTTCACTTTAAATATAATTAAGTACATTCGAGATCAAAAGCATTTCATCGATGTTATCAAAAATAGCCAATCTATTGAGATATTATAGCAGCTAATTTAACTATGACTATATATATTACTTAATATCATAAAAGAGATCCAGTATGAACGTGAAAACGTGTCGAAAATCGGGCCCAAAAGTGCAGTGACGTAATTAATTGGTTGACCAGCATTAACCCGAAGATCTTCAAAATTATAATTTGGCCAGAATTCAATTTTCCGAATCCAAAAAAAAGAAAATTTGGCCTGCTTTCATAGTTAAATTGGTCCGAAAAAGATTTTTACTTAATAGGTGTGTGGTTTGAATTTTGTGTAATTTTGTTCTGGCTGCGCCATGATCTACATCACTGCACTTTTGGGGGCCAACCTGGATGATCCTCGAAAAATTTTAATACAGCAATAGTTGAAAGTATTTTTTTTATTTCAAACAAATATAGAGTATACTTTATTCAAATATATCAAAGGTAATTCTAAAGAAAACATGCATTTTACTTTAATGATCATGCAGAACTTGCTATAGAGGCTCAGTCGTAGCGGTAGGTAAATGATTTACATTTTTAACCAACAAATCTCCAACCAGTCGCGTATGAGATAATGATGATCGTTAGCAAAATTGACAATAACACAGATCCTAGTGACAACCGAACAAGTTTATTTTCGGTTACCATTTCAGTACCCAACCAGACAATGGATAAGCCGAGGTAAATCCATGAAAGTATTTCCACAGCTATACCAGATCCACGGCCAAGTGTATTCATGACCAATGCAGATAAAAAGCCTAATAATAGATCGTGAGCAATTCTTGATGCACGTTTCAGTCCATTGTCCTTGAAAAAATTTTTAAATTTACAAATTTGTATTATGTATGATAGATAACAAAAGTTATCACTATTATCAGTTATTAAAATTTTATTTACTTACTAATCTTTCCAAAAAGGTATTTGTGCCTGTTTCGGTTCGTTCGGTGCGTTCTGCAGTCGACTGTCTTATTTCTGTTCTGTCATCACGCTTAACTAGTTCTTTCTGGGTCAAATTCATCAATCTGAATTTTATAAAATAATTTATTAATGCATAAATGATGATCTATCTGCCATGTATTAATAACATTTATAATATACGCTTTGATATACGTACAAAAGAAGTGCCCAAATAATCCACAAAATCCAAAATGCAATCCATTGTGATCGAACTGATGGTGCCGAAATAAATGAATCAAAGCCACCAGAAGTGAGGCCATTGAATCCACTCGTATCTCTCTTCATGAGATTAATGTCATGAGCCACAGCTAAAGAAGCGATATTTAACGTTTTACTGTCTGTAGGCTCTTCATTGCTTACTGCGGATATCAAACCAACGGTTGGTGACATTTGAAACAAAATAGAAAACGAAAAATAATTATTGTTTCATTCACTTAAAATTTTCTCATTTATATAACGTTTTTGATGATTTTTCTTACGTACACTTTATTAATAAATTACTTAATAATGACAAACAATGACATATACGAAAAGTCAAACATATTCAATTCGCGTCATTTTTTTACGCACATTATCACGTGATAATCCTTTAAATTTTCACGAATTTCTTATACTCGAGAACCCGGTTTTCTGCTGGTTTTTTAAACAGTCACCAAGCCCCGAAAAAAAAAAAATCTATCACGTAAAAATTTTTGACCGGCGAGCATTATTTACGGTTTTAGAAAAATTATCTTCTTTAAATAATTTGCCAATAATTATCTAGAAAATTTAAAGGCCTATCTCTTATTTTAATGTTACCTCAATCGAGCACATGTGTGCCTGTATCTAATGACGTACTTAATTCCTCGTCGACAACTGACTCAACTATAAAACAAGAAGACAATGGCGTTAAAAGAAGCCAACAACAAGAGGAATGGGTAAAGTTTAATTTTCCTCTACAAAAGAATGTCCAAAATTGATATTATGGGTCTTTGCCTTGAAAATCGGTATGGTACATAGTAAATTACATATCCATAACGTGATTTTCAAGGCAAAGAACTCTATATTTTCTAGATTCTTTTTTATTATTAGCACATCCTACTATATTATAACTTTAGAAAATAGATAATTATCACTTTTGTAATTCTCAGTTTCAATTTATTGATGACGTGACTTTGTTACCTTTAAAGGGTGACGAAGATGGTGAATTCGAGCTTGAAGACGTTCATCAAGATACTTCTAGTCTAGGGAATGATGTGGCGCGGGAGATCAAATTCTCTGAACACAAGAATGAAAACAAACACTTAATGTCTAATATGTCTAATATACCTAATATTCCTAATATGCCTAATATGCCTAATAATCTGAGCGTTGATAGTAACATCTCATTATCTGGTGATTCAGTCAATACGGATAAAGTGACTGATTCTATTCCACAAAATAAATCAATTGATTTGTCATCATCTGTAACACCTGATAAAAATGATAATGAACATCCTTTCGTATGTAAGTTACTGATCGATTAATATATCAATTATTTATCCATGATTTTTGTGTTGATAGATTTTATTTTCCTATTATTTAGCTTCGGATTTTGATGATTTACCGAAAACAAAGTACGGTCGAAAAGTTCACAAGCCTGTGTTATTTACTCCCGATGTTAAAAGACTGTCAAATGAAAATAGGAATAAGAATACAAGTAATTTATTAATATTATTTTTATTATTATTTATATATATAATTATGTGAAGTGCGTTTCATGTATTCTTCATTTTTATAATGCTATTATAGGCAAGCGTCAACGGAATATAAATGCTTCTTCACATGCATCAACTAATGGGGATCAAGATGCTACAGATGATATCGTGTGTAGCATTTGTAGGAATGGTCGTTCGCCTAAGCATAATCGTATAGTATTATGTGATATGTGTGACGTTCCTTATCATCAACGATGTCATAAGCCACCTATTGAAGATCGTGTGATTGAAATACCTGATGCCGAATGGATGTGCGCAAAATGTGAGGAGATACTTCGAAGCCGTAAGCGAAGGAAAGTGAACAGTTCAAGTACATCTTCATCTGGCTCGGTATCCGTTTCTTCCGATATTTTTAAAGGTAGTTCAGGAAACGGTTTAACGGAAGAACAGGTATATTCTCTTAATAAATTGTTTGTTTATGTCTTATTCTTTAATAATTATTGATTAATATTACTTATTTATTATGACTAGAAAGTTGCATATCTGTCATCTTTACCCCAGCGAGTCTTGATTGATCTTATACTCATTGCTGAAAAATTACACCCGGATCTTCCTTTATACCCTGCGGATATAAAAGAAAAAATCGCGAATAATGCTTATGCTATTACGCCTACATCTAATCAAAATCATTCCTTGGTAGACGATAGGCTGACATCTGTTTCAAATTTAGCATCTCTTCAATCACCTGATATGCAGGTTCCCATTTCTACCCCAGTTTCGCAAGGTTTTGTGACCGATTTTTCACGTGCTCATTTACCAGCTGTCGGCGTTGATTTACCATCTTACGAAGAAATGATTGTACAAGCTCTAACTTCCATAGCAGATCCGTCCGGAAGTGCTCCTCGTAGTATTTTTGAATGGATGAATAAGTAAATATTTCATCAACATTCATCTTTGTTTCATTTTGTTGCTAGATTATTTATGTCGTGTTTTGTAGTACGTATCCATTACATAAAAACTTCCGCGCGTCTGCTTCTCAAGCATTACAAAAGTCGGTTAAAAAAGAGCGTATACTCCGAATCGGAACTGTATACAAGCTTAATTCTAATTATAAACCAGTTAAAGTATGAAATATTTTAATATTTGAGGGTGAGTCAATAGAAATCAAGCAAATTTTCTATAATAAAAATTTTTTTATAACTTTAAACAAGAATAACTTAACAAAAACTTAATCAAATTTAATAAAACTTTTTTAAATAATTTTATAAACTTGTAGAATTAATTTAAAAAAAATTTGTTAAGTTATCCTTGTTTAAAGTTTTAAAAAAACTCATTAAAAAATATTTGCTTGATTTCTATTGACAACTCTATTTAATTACAATCCACTCTCAAACCTATAATAAATTATTATTATTTTATTACTCAGCGAGTTCGCAGATTTTTTAAGAGACCACAAGATTCTGAAGAAGGTCAACCGTTCAAAGGTATTTCTTCAGATAATAATACCTCCGATCACAATAATCGAAATGGTATATATGAAATTGCCGTGAGGATGAGCAATACGGATAGCTTCTCATCCGTTCAAGTTGACGTTGATGATCATCCAAGCTTATCTTCGTCTGCGGTCTCAACTCCTGTTCCTAATGTTGTCTCCAATGGCCATACTGCGGTTACTTCTCCCGAGAATGATTTACCTACGGATGACATACCTAATAAGGTAGCTCCCACTATTAGCACAGTTGCTCCAAATCAGTCCATGCTGCCGCCAGTAATAGGTCGTAACACGACACCTTCACTCACTAATACAACAATTAATAGCACTACTGATCTGCCTTCAACGCTTCTTCCTCCACCTGGGCAGCCGACATTACCTTCTTTAAGCTCCGTGGCACCTTACTTTAGTTCAAATTATGGTGGAAATAATGGTTCTGGCTCTATGTTCTCAACATACCGCTTGTAACTACGTATTCAAAGTTACATACATAAGGGTGCACATTATTGTCTATGAAAAATAAATCTTTACAAAAACTACTGCATAATTTAGTTTTTCTTCTAATTCTAATGTATATACTGTGCATACGTACATAATTTTGCCAAAAATAAATCTTTTTTCGATACAACATTTTCATGGACACGCCTAATAAAGTAGTACTTACATTTGCTAATGTCGATCGACATTAGCCAAATTTTTCGTTAAACACGTGATCTTAACCTGATCGTGATCGATCGTATTTGGATCGTTTAACATCTACATCTGATATTTTACATTCGAGAGAGCTACCGAAACATAATGGCGTTAAAAGTAAATGTATATTTATAAAATATGTATATGAGTGCTGCTAAGGGAAAACCTAGAATTCTTAATTTTGGAATCTCCGCCTTTAGAAACAGACAATATCAAATTCTTACAAGCTGTTTCCGAAAATGAAATTTCGGAAAATTAACAATTCCTTGGCAGCACTCGTGTAGTCATGTAACTATGTAAATTTATTTATTTTTTTCTCTTTAAAGTACCTTACACAAAAACTTGCAAAAGCCATTGATGAAGAATTGATGTCACAAGCTGGAGGTTTTTCCGTAGATCAGGTTTGCCATAAAATGATATTGCCGACATTTAATATATTATATTATAATTAATACTTATGTAATTTTAAATAAGCTTATGGAACTTGCTGGTTTAAGTGTTGCTCAAGCAATTGCCAAAGTATATGATAAATCAAGATATCCACGTGTTCTAATTTGTTGTGGCCCAGGAAATAATGGAGGAGATGGTAATATAGAAATTATTATAATATATTTGATATTGACACTTTTTTGAATAATTATAATTTTACTAAAAAATTTTTTATATAAAAGGTCTTGTCGCTGCGCGTCACCTTTTTCACTTTGGATATAAACCAAATATATTTTATCCTAAACAAACCAAGAATGAATTATATCAGGTATTGATCTTTATTTATCTGTTTGAAAATTTTTTCCTATTTTAATTAAATCAATTTTTGTATTATTTCTTAGCGATTGATAATTCAATGTAATAATCTTGATATTCCATTTATAAATAATTTGTCTGATCAACTTAAACAAAGCGATCTAGTGGTAGACGCTATATTTGGTAAAAAGAAATTTATACGTAATACTATTGTGAATCTTTATAGTTATATAACACTTAATTTTATCAAATTCTTTACTGATTTTAAAGGATTTAGTTTCACTGGTGAAGTAAGAGCACCTTTTGATCAAGTTATTCAGGTGAAGTATATTGTATTTTTTTGAATAATTTTAAATAGATTAAATGTTTCAAATTGATGAAAACTAAGTTTAATTTATGGTATTATGATTTCAGGAGCTAAAAGAAACAAAATTACCAATTGCTTCAAGTTAGCATTACATTTTTCATAGACCGATTGCCTTTGTTATTTACATATCTAACCTGGAACGCTTCTTCTATCCATAATATAAGTCGATATACCGTCTGCATGGGACGTTGAAAAAGGTAAATAAATATAATCATATACAGTTTTTCATAACACTTTGGACTATTGGTTTGATGATATATGCACATAACTTAGGCAACATTGATGGTCGCGGTTTTACGCCGACGATGTTAATTTCTTTAACATCACCAAAACTCTGTGCAAGACAATACAACGGGATACACTTTCTGGGTGGTCGTTTTGTACCTCCGTGAGTGTTTTTACAAACATTTTCAAAATGTTATTACTGGTACAATGATTTTCATGTACATTAGGGTTGGGTGTGTCCCAATCTAAATCAAATGTCAATGTCGAACAATAATCACTTGTGATTCTTACCGATCGATGTTTCTATTCTGATTTCCAATTTCACTCAGACCCTTTTTAAAAACGCTATAATTTGTTTTCTTTTCTATGTATAATATAGAAAATTAGAGAAAAAATATGACCTTCAACTTCCTTTATATGCCGGTACCGAACAAGTGATAGATATTACTAATTTATCAGGTGAAAAATTGTGATTAACTTAATTTATACACTCAACATCAAGTTTCAAGGTGAGAAAATTGCCTAAATTGATTAATTTTTTCTTTCCATAATACATATTTACCATAAACATCTAAACTTTCTTTATTCGCACAGATATGAGAATTAATGCATAAATATATATGTTTACATAAGTTGATGAGAATGGTTGTTGTTGTACATAAAAGATATAAAAAAAGCTGTGAATAATAAATTAATCAAAAAATTTTCTGTTTGGCGAGTGACCAAAGAGTAGCACGCGAAGTTCTGGAAGCATCTATAATAAAATGTTTGTCAATAAAAATTTGATAAATTTAGAATATAAAAGAGCTTTCAATAACTACCCCCTCCTGAGCTAAGGATAATCGTTCTTCAAGTGTATTGTTAATCCTTATACGACCAAAATGAGATGACAAAATCACACCCCCAGCACTAGATTTTTTTTCAGATTAATTTGAATTATGAGCAAGAAAAAAAATAATAATAATAAATATTAATGAAATAAATTTATTTATTGCCATTACCATTCTTCTGGTAAGTTCTCTTTGCCAATTTCAATATGCACTGGTGAGCGAGTTTCATCCGTAAAAGTCTTTGTGGCAAGTTTAATGGCATTTTGAGCAAGATCCAATTCGGATTCCTTGACGATAATTGATACATTTTCATCCATTAATTGATAAAGCCCCTTTAGTATAAAATATTATCGATTAATATTAATTAAGAATGTATGTTAAATCACCATAGTAAAAAAAAAAAAAAAAAATCAACAAATTACTTGTAATATCAAATCTTTCAATAAATTAATATATGAATCCTTGTTTTGAGAAATCTCTTTGAGTTTAGATCGAGTTTCTCCAAAAAGTTCTTCAAGCATTTGTTGACGTTCTTGAAGAACCTTGAGACGTGATTTATTGATAAGGTTTGATTGTGCACTACATTATTATTGTAATTAATCACAAAAAAATATTAGAAATATTGTTAAAATTAATTGATACTTTTAAAAGATGTAAGTCAGAATGATCAATAATAATACATTTTCTTTTGAATTTCAGCTTGCTTGATCTTTCTTTGATAGGTGGCTTCAATATTGATAGATTCTTGACGTACAAGCTTAGCCTAAAATGTGCCAATATGATCTAATTTAAGCTTGTACTAAGATATGAAGTATCGAAGAGAAATAGTAATAGTTAAAATATTAGCATTGAATTTTAAAATAAACCTTTTCAATATTAAACTCTTCGTCAGCCTGTATTTAAGTACATATACTATGTTAGCAGTCTGAATCATAAGTCCAATTAAACAAATTAGCCTTCCAAAATCCAAGTCAGCATTAAGAGTTAGTAAACAAACCTTGACTTTAATTTCGGTTGCTTTTTCAAGGGCTTCTTGGTTGATAAAGGCAACCTGATTTAACAAGATATCAGAACGGCTCTTGTTTTAACTCTAAAAGTTAAAAAAAAAAAAAATAAATTCTATTTATTCTATGCTACCATTTTGCTCATTTCATTAGAAACTTCATCGTCAGTCAGTGCTCTGGAAGTTGTCATCTTTGATAATGTTAGCAAGCGGATTAACTATCGCTAAATCGATATCAAATTTTTCAATTTTTGAATAGAATTTGATGTATTAAACCGATTGAAGCCGGTTTTACATATGTAAATGAAACCAGTTACGGCAATTACCTAACTAAAATTAATAATTAATCTTAGATGTCGATGCGATCAGATGAGATTGATTACGTAAAATAAAAAATTTAGTTGTCGGAAAAAACTTTTTGCGTTCAAACTTTGGGTGAGACCACCTATCTAAATTAGTGAAGCATTTTATTTTAATCACATAGTTTGAAATGAAAATTTTGGTTTTTGACAGATATCTTCTCTCAAAACAGCAAAATTCGGAAAAGATTTTGCTACAGCTTGTTTTAAAAAATAATCCTGACATTTATTCAAAATTGATAAATTTTTTAATTACAGTTTTATATAGCGAAATAAAAAATTTTATCGATTTTAAACAGATAATTGTCGCGATATCTTCGCTTAAGGTTTGGAAAAACTTTGCCTCGGCTTTTTATAGTAATCTTTTTTTTTAAACTTTGAGCGAAGATAGTCCGACAACCAGGGATGGTAAATCACTTGATGACTCAAATGACAAATGACTTTACCCCCTAGCTGCTAGTTCTAACTACGTAATCAAAATTTATTATCATCAAAAATACTGTATTATATCATCTGTAACACCGATATGTATATAAAAGTCACTCGTGGTGTCGAGTTGTCCGTACACGTGATAATCAATGCATTTCTTATTGTTTATTAAATTTGCGACAAGCTCTAAGATTTTAATGAAAGTATTACCATTATACAGTAAAATTTCGCAAAGAAAAATTTTTGTCAGAGCGTAAAAGTCGGTTTGTTATGTAAATTTTTGTGTTGTGAACGATTTTAAAAACGGACAATTTTTTTTACGTTATTCCTGATCGTGTTACATTATATTGATCATAATTAAGTCATTGGTCAATTATCACATGTGCGGATAAGTTCTCCTACAACCTGATACTGTTCGTGGTGTCCATGAAAAAAAAACTTTAATGTGTAAGGCGCCAAAAACACATTACGTAAAAATTTTCTTTATTTAATGCACAAATGGTACTATAAAAATTATTGCACATGATAAATCAATGATTGGTCATTATTTGATGACCAAGGGTTATTTGAATAAAATTTTTTCTGATTTTAATTATTCAATTAATAGAATCGAAATAATAAATAGTTATCAGGCAGGCACTGCCTGATAACTGGTTTATTTGGTCGAGGATTTAAGATCAGACTAAGAAATTGAATTCCGAAGGAATTCAATTTTTTAGGCTGACCTTAAATCCTTGACCAAATAATTAAGTTATAAGGCAGTATCAGCATGCCTGATAACGGATTTATCGGGTAGCTTACTATAATTTTCTGCTCAATGATTTATTATTGGGCAGAAACGATAGTTTAAACTATTTTAAACTATTTTAAACTTTTTTTTCTGCCCAATAAATTGGGCAGATAAATCATAGTAAGCTGCCCGATAAAAGATATTTATCAATTTTGGATGGTGGTCATCAGGTTATCTTTGCTCGAAATTTGGTCGTGGCTTGATAGTCATCTAAGTTTATTTAAACTTTGAGCAAAGATATCTCACCGATAATCTTTTATTTTAATCACGTAGTTTTATATAATCGAAATACAAAAATAAAGATAAAAATAAAATCCGATTTAGATGGGTAATTGTTGAGATGCAGTATTTTCGCTTAAAATTTGGAAAAATTTTTCTGTAACTTGTTTTTATAATTATCCGTTTTTTTCAAACTCTGAAAAAATATACAGTATCATACAGTACGAAATTCGAATTTTTTTGGAGATGGGTTATAATTTACCGGTATTCATTTACAGTCCATAAGTGCGCTCTCTATAAGTGCACTTCTCTTTTTAATTGTACATCACTTGATCGGTTTATAGAATATCATAATGTAGTTGAGACTAAACCGTTCTCTATAAGTGATTTACAAATAGGTTAGTCATGTCGAGATCACAAGACCAAGCGATCGCTTCCGACCAGGGTTGGCACATTTATCCATTGGGACGAATGGAGTTGTTCTCCATTTGTCCCAATGGATAAATGTGCCAACCCTGGAGTATATCCATTGCCAAGCTTGCTTCCGACCACTCAGAGTATGTACAAATGGTGTATCTTGATAGTCCGATAATTTATAGTTTTATTATTTGGGTTGTTTGCTAGGAAAATCACCATTTAATACTTGCTTTCAGACAGTGATTTTCCTAGCAAACGGCACATTTAAAATTTTTACCGTATTTTGCCATGACTAACCTATCTTGATTTACCACATTAACATCTGATTCAATTTCGTGAAACGATCAAAATATGTTTCGCATATTAATGCAATAAAGAATGTCGTTAATGTTAGTATTAAGGTCAGATAAAGCATTGGTTATACTAAATTTTTGTAAAGAATTTGGTTTGCTGGACACAGTGATGTTTTCATAAGTAAGCCGATTTTTGAGAAACTTTCATTGCAATTTGATTTGTCAGAAAGTCATAATTTTTGTCCAATCAGAGCAGCATTCACATCCAATCAGAACTGGGAAGGAAATTAGGCTCCCCTCTACAAGGCACATTCTACAAGAGCACATTCTGCAAGTGCACTTTACCCTGATAAACCTACTTATAGATGGTTGGCATAAACAGCGAAAACTGGGTTTCTCATTGAGAGATACACAGAAAAAGCTATTATACAGAAAAATAATATTTATTTCAAAGCTATACAGCAGAGGTTTATGTCACAAGAATAATAATGATAACAATAATAATAAAATTTAAATAAAGCAATTTTTTGTAAAAAAAAAAAAAATCGCCCAATTCTTGTAAAAATCTGCTCAATGACAATAATACTGCACTACTGTGAATCCTCAGATAGTGGACATGGGTGTTATTTCAAAAATCGTACCCTTAAAAATAGCATAGTTTTGAAATAACGCCCATGTGCGTTATTACGCGCCAATACGGTACTTTATGGATCACTATGAGAATATGCATGTACGCAAGTGGCTCTAAGTTTCTAGTAAATAGATGTTTTATAGAATTTAAGATTTTATGAACTAAAGGATAACAAGATTCGAATCTTTATTTATAAATATCCCGATTTTTTGTTTTTATGCGCAAAAAACATAACCGGAAACAATCCTAGCTATTACAGTATTTAGAATTTTACAGTTTTAATTATAACATTTAATAAATCTTAACTTTGCAATTAGTTAAGATTTAAACCATCGAAGCAAAACTCTCAAGTATTAACATCATGTTGCCTATGGAATTAATAAGAAAATAAAAGGAAATTGAGATCGAAGTCGAATAAGTGAGTTTCATTTTTGTTATCATTATTAGTCTTTCAATTGTCATATTTATCAATTTCATTATTATTTCATTATCATTATTAGTCTTTCATTGTCAATTTCATTATTATTTCATTATCATCATTACTCTTTTGGGGCTTTATTATTATCATATCCTTCTTGTTAATGTAAAATTTAAATTATACTGCTGACGCAACGCGCTTAGATAGTTTAAACGTTATTGTGCTTACTGACTAAATCTCGATACTCAATAAATAAAGTAATTGAGATTATAACAAAAAAAAGAAAAATTTTAATCAACTGTGATGTATGGTTACGACATTCGTCGCATCAACTAATTTAATAAACGAGGTACGATATTAATTTCGTATCATTATTATATAAGTAAATATAATCCCATAGCTCTATATTGAATTACGTTGATCGTTAGCCAAAATTATCAAAGAATAGTATTAATGAACACTATTCTAAATAAAAGGAATAGAGGAATGACTTCTCTCTTTTTTTTTTTAAAAAAAAAAAAAAACAGTTAACGTTTAAAAATTTTTGATAGTTCCAATACTTAACATCTATGGTGTTTTACATCTATGTGAATACTTGTCTCAAAAATTAGCTAGTTAATTAGTGCATGGTGCTAAGTAAAAATGGTCTACGTCCGAAAGCATTACTCAGTGTTTATTTTTCACGCGTGTGGATCCAATCAAGTTGCTTTATTCCAAAAAATCAGATAATTTAATTGGATTGAAAGATAAACATGGCCTTTCCCAAACCTTAAATCTAACTTTATGAAACAGAAAATAATTCGTATTTCTTCACCTGATATTTTTCTTCTTGATTCAAGCAACGTTAATAATTACAAATGGGTTACAAATATGATCCTAATAAACCACTTCAAATTATACCGGATAAGCTTTCAACAATCACCAATCGCATATAAATATTACAATTATTGGAGCAACAGTTGGTGGAATTGCTGGACTTATACGTAATAGCAGTAATTGTTATTGTCTTTTTTTGGAAATAGGATTATGCATCCTCAAGTTACCGATAGTGATATTAATTCGTGGAGTGGAGATACGTACTGTACGTACAAATAACAAACCTATTAAATAACATGACCTTTTCAAACGCCCTTCCCTTAGCAAAAATCATCGAAATTTCTATGATCGTAGCATTTTTTTTTTTAATATTCAATATGATGACTTGTGTGTAATTTGAAATTTTGAATTTTTTTTAGTGATTTTATAAATTTATTAAGTTGTTTTTAGTATTTTAAACCTTCGTAAACAAATAATAAAGAAAAATAAATAAATGCATTTGTGGATTGCAGGTTGACATGATATCAAAGGAATGGGATCGGATATAGGATAGCTTTTTTCACATGTTATTCTCGCTCGAATTCATTTCAAATATAATATTTCAATGTATCAATTGCTTAATTCAAATACACTAAAAAGATAATCATGTAGAAAGAACACTATGGGAATGGTGCCACCGCCGTTTACTACCCAATAATACGGTTACTTTAACACCTTAACAAATTCTATTTCCCCCAATTTATTTCTTCTAAACCACTTCTAAATCACTTTCTCGGAACAGTGTGGGTGTGCGCAGCTGCTAACTTAGGGGTATACAGCCATTTAGTCCCTAGGCCTTATTAACTGACTCGGCCGTCTAATTTCAATCTCGAAACGCGATCTCGGGCTTCTGCAGCGTTGAATATCATCGGTGTGTCGTAGCACGTTCGATCGATTACCTAGTCTTAGTTGGAAGAGGGATGGGAGGAAGAACCGTTCGATCAGCCAGAAAATAGGATTTCGGGCAATTACTAAAAGCAGCGAAAGAAAAGCTGGTTTACATATTAAACTCGCAAGATCAATAATCATGTAAACTCACTGGACCTATGACTTCATATCGGCATCACCAGGTCCAGTGACTTCAATGATCATGGGTCAGGTGATCTTCGCCTCCTGTGCCTTCGTCACAGTCAGTCTCAAAACATGTATATATATTAGCGTTAGGGAATCAGCATCTATGGTATTACTATGTAATTTATATTTTTTACAGTCATAGCAACTACTGACATGCAGTGCACAAAGTTTTCGGGTGATGCAATCTGCTCTTTTTCCGGTAATAGTAATGTTTTTTTAACCGGAACTTAGTTGTAACCGCGAACCTAGCATCATAATTCCGTTTATGAATTTTACATTCAAAAAAAAAAAAAAAAAAAAAACTTTTTTAAAAAATATTTTCTCTGTAAACCACTTTCTAACCATTATACTAAGGCACAGTTATCTGAATCACACGAGTCAATATCTATATCAATTTTATAGTAATCAGGTGCGAACCACTATATGATTTCCCTGATTTCTTGATTCCGCAAATAAGGGAAATCGGAGAAATAGTAAGGATTTTCCATAATATAAATGGTTTTCACCTGTTTACACCTTTTTGAAACAGCTATAAGTTCAGATACGTAACTAATTTTTTGGGAGATACTAGGACTAAAGATGAGCAATGTAATAATGTAAGTAATAATTACTTATTTTTTACCCCAATATTTACACATTCATATTATTCCTAATTATTCCCTATGCGAATAGTTATTACTTATCACGTTTTACAAATGTAACCTGGAGGGCAAATTTTAAACTCAATAATTTGATATCAGGTTAAGTTTTTGCTTATATCATAATTCTTTACTTATTACGCAAAAAATGTTAAGAAATAATCGGAAATAATAAATAATTAATAGTTATTTTGCAACTATGTAGTTTCTGCCGAATAATAAATTTACTGGGCAGACGAATCATAATAAGCTGCCGGATAATAATACTTTACTAAACTTGCCCATCTCTAACTAGGATGGTTAACTGGTCATTAACATCGGACATATCATCGGACATTTTCAAATTGTCTGAATTATCCTATGCTATAAGACATTGTCCAATGACAACTGTAACTGTGCCACTGAACGTATAGAACAATTTGGAAATGACCGGTGTCTGGTGTTACGATCGGGGGAATGCTTTATAGAGTTTTGAGCCGATTTAGCTTCGATCGTGAATAAATTGAATTAGGGTCAATTGTTAAATTCACACTCATAATTACAAGACTATTACAAGTTATAAGGTTTCTCTTTATTAACATAAATAATTCAATACATCATATCATACTCACTAATACTAAATACTATGAACGACTCGACTATTACTACCCTTCTCTTCGTAAGCTGAAGCCCAACTTATCTATATCTTTAATTCACACTGGGGGTTTAATCCTTCGCTTGGAGTTTCAATATAGTTGTTGATGAAACCCTTACGCAAAATGACGAAAAACCTAAAGCCGAAAAAACGAAACCTAAACTCAGAATGACGAAATCTCGACCCAAGTTCAAATGACGAAACCTGGCGAAACCTAAATCCAATTGATGAAACTCTAGTGCTCTCGCTAAAAAAAAAAACGAATATGGTTTGGCAAGGAAACAAATATAAACAAAGCTAAGCGATTAATAATAAAACTACCGTATTTTCGTGAAATAACGAATAACGCGCAGGGGTGTATTTCAAAATTTGGCACACATGCTTAATTCAGGCCATGGTTCTAAATAACGCTCATGAGCGATATTACATATGACTTATTAGCTATTCATTTCCAATTTCACAGTGAATGCGTTGTCAAATAATTGATTGGAGCGTAGCGAAGGATCAGTTAATTTTTATGCATTAAGTGATACAAAAATTACGTTTTTGATGCATTTTACCCAAAAAAAAGTTGCATAAACGTTATGAAGATCATATCAGAAACGTAATTTGGAAATTTTTTATCCGTCCACACGCGTGTTCAAATTTGTTAATTGTCCGGAGCGTAGCGGAGGACACCTAATGGACGAGTAAAGTGGATCAAAAGTTACGATGTTGATGCATCATAGTGATAAAAATCAAGAACATAACTTTGAAAAGGATTCTGTCCGCACGTGACTAAAGTTCCGTTTTTGATGCATGACTATACTCGATAATTATAGGCTCCGGATATACAATGCTGTGCATTAACCTAGTTTAGTGTAACAAAACTAATAGAATCTTAAGCCAAAATCAAAAAACAGTATAGCTACTGTTACGGGGTGAATCGTATGTATTTATTATTTTATACACGAAAATATATGATTTTATACACGAAAATATATGATTTTATAAAAATATATGATTTTATAATATGATGCAATTCGCCAGAGGCGTGACAATGGTGATTTGGTATTAATTTATTAGAGTATTGGTTACGAGAGTTGTTTAGGGAAGTATTTTAAAGGTTTATGGATTGAATATTAGAATCCCGTAGGGATGTCCCTACAATGAGAGAAATCTATACTTAAATAATTAAAAGAGGCTTTTACAAAGACTTCTTTTGTTCTTTGCATATCTCTCAGTTCCTCTCTGATCTGTAAATCCCTTACTTCTTTTCCCTCCTACATTCAACTTATTTTCCTTTACTTATTTCTTCTTAAACCTTCTACATCCTTCGTTTATGCTCTATCTGCTAGAACCTTCTACTAGCGATCCCTAAGCCTTGTAGATCGTACGTGTAATTAACTTTCTCGAAGTGTCTTCAGGATCTTCATTTCCGAATAGTCATGTGATTTATTCTCCGATTAACCTATCGATTTCGGAAATATCACTTTTAGCCTGTGACACTACCCTTGAATTACTTTACATGATGATGGATGATCATTCTTTTTTGTAAATCGATTCGAAACTTCTCTTCTCGTTTATTAGTTTCGTCACCCTTTGCAGATTCGTCAGTTTCATCTTTCGTCAATTTCGTCACCTTTCGTCCTTTCGTCAGTTTCGTCGCCTTTCGTCAACGCGAAACCTTCGGGTTTCGTCTAACAACTATAGGTTTCAAACCGTCGATTGGAGTTAAAATCTCCAACTATGCCACAAACTATACCAAAATAGAAATATATAAAATAACGATAATGATAAAATAATATGACATTACTAAAAGAGAAAATTTGAGCATAACACCGGTAAAAAAAAGCACCAGATATATAACTTGCCCAACCTTGTTGTCAGGGTTTATTTATCTCGTCTAACAGACAAAATTTGATCGCTTAATTATTAAGTCAGAAATGTTTTAGTCCCAAAAGTTACTAATGGCTAAATGATGAATGTTATTCAAGACTTTAATGATCGTTTACCCGAAAAAGGCAGTTGCAGTCGAAAGTACGTATTAAAATATTAATACTAAATTTGTATAAAAAGCCATTATAATTAATAAATTAAAAAACATTTTTAACCAACGAACATATAAAAAAATTGACTAAAAACAACATTATTGCTTTTTTTTAAAATATAAACCAGTTTTTTTTAAGATTCGTAACGTTATTACTAATTTCGTATTTTATTATAATTATGAAAACTACCACACTGAATACTCATTCAGGTTCTTTAGCAACAGACTTAGTTAATTGCCAAGGCAATATATTTTACTTGAACTTTAATAAATATAATAATTTATATACAATAATCTTACTCACAAATAAAAAAAAAGAAGAATTCTATTTTAAAAAAATCAATAAATAAGAATATATACATGATATAAGAGTTTTATCATAAAAAGGGACCGGGAAAAGGGAATATCTACATTTTTGTGAGTATAAAATTATTTTTAATGATTTTTATTTTCGGCCTCACATCTGTGATAGTTGTGTAGTCACATTTTAACTCACGATTTAGAAACATATTATTCTCCGTCGGCGAGACGTTTCTCATTATCAGCGTCAGCGTCGCGTTTGTAGTAACTATAACCATAGTCATAGGAGGACTTATAATGGGGATCGGCTTCAGCGTCAGCGTCGCGTTTGTAGTAACTATAACCATAGTCATTGGACTTATAATAATGAGGATCGGCTTCAGCGTCAGCGTCGCGTTTGTAGTAACTATAACCATAGTCATATGACTTATAATAATGAGGATCGGCTTCAGCGTCAGCGTCGCGTTTGTAGTAACTATAATAGTCATAGGACTTATGATAATGAGGATCGGCTTCAGCGTCAGCGTCGCGTTTGTAGTAACTATAACCATAGTCATAGGACTTATGATAATGAGGATCGGCACTACGTTTTAGATCCTCGCGCTCTACTCGGAGATAAAATTAAACGTTTAGTAACAATATTTATAGATGTGAAGATTCTTTCAAAGCAATACCTACTATTTTGATGAGGCAGCGCAAGGCCAGTGGCGGTTAAAGCCAACAGAATGCTGATAGAACTGATAGAATGAAACTTCATCTTTTATCTATATTTTACTTCTATTTTTATTTTTATTTTTTTTTGTCAATAAATGTTTTTTTTTTTATTTCTTTGGATTTCTGTTTGGTTGATGATAATGCAGAGGCGAACTTGATGGGTTTATATAGATGTTCGCGCGTATTGCTACATAATAAAGAGTTCTACATTGATATATATGTGGCTTACAATCGATTATAGAAGAATACGCGTTTATTGGAATGAGAAAATTAAAGGCACATAATTTCTACATAATATAAAATTAATACAATTAAATGTGAAAACTAACCAATAATGCGCAAGATATTGCGCAAAATTACTTCATTGAAAAGGCTTTGTTATCGCGGAGATGAGAACATTCTTTTTCTCGGATAACGGCCTAGAATTTGATTTTTCAATTATTATAATATAATATTATAGAGAAACGCATTTATTATTATTATTTTTCCTTATTTTTTTTTTCTGTGGCTTTTACGAAATTATAATATTAATATTTATAATCGATCGATCACGTTATTTTTGAGGCTTCGTTCGTAATAACTTGTGGCTCTCAATTCTTTTTATAGAAATTAACGAATTCCGTCTTCAAAAGAATCTAGGAAAAAGGGTTATTACTTATAGTAACCTAAAATTACGGCAGAAATTAGTGTTCAGTCGAGGCTTAGATAATTATGGTAACGGTAATTGCTCTTTTTTTTTAACGCTTAATTAATGCTACGTAAGATCAGGCTATGATAAGCACTGTCTGAATATGAGTGCCGCCAAGGGAAAACCTGTCTTAGGAGTTTCAATTATATTTTGTATACTGTTGGCCGTCTCAAAATAATAGATTTTACATAGATGGCTAACAAAATATAATTGAAACTCCTACGACAGGTTTTCCCTTAGCGGCACTCATATATAACCAATTAAAATCCTCAGACACAGTGGCTTTTTTAAATTTATCCCGCTTCTAAATTTGTAAAAATGCTATATCACTATGGATAATATCGTTATGTAAATGCTTATTTTCAAGGTAATTTCTATTTAAGAATTATTTACAAGCCTCAGAAGCCTCTTAATTAAAAACTAATTCGTGAATTGCAAGAAATTAAAGAATTTACATAATCGGATTTTTATTAATTCATTTTGTAAACATTTGCTTGGTATATACATATGGGGCTAAGTTTCATCTTTTTCTCTAATTCGTTCGCATGGTAAGCGTGGCTTGGTTCTATCTTTTATAATGTATCAATAACGATAATCTAAATCTCAAGGCGTCAAAAAAAAGCTCTGCTTCTTAACCAATCGTATTCCAAGATCAAGCGTAATGTGATTATCAAATAGAGAAAAAGATGATTATAGTTAGAACTCGAGTTAGGATCAGATAAGGTTTATATCATCGTGCAAGGATTTCTTTCTTTTTTTTATTAAAAGTACAAAAGGAAAAATTTTGTGTAACTTTTTTAAAAAATGCATTCATTGTCTCTAATCAACAGAATTTTGATCGGATCTTGGTCTTAGTATCAACAAAAATAATCGTTCACATAACTGATGTACCAATCAAATCTAGAGTTCCAATCCGGATAATCCGCCATCCGTTTATCCATATTTGATTTATTCGGATATCCGTTTACTATTGATATCCGGATAATCTGACAGATATTATCCGGATATCAATAGTAAATGGATAGTAAATAGATATCCGAATAAATTCAGATCCGGATATCTGATAATTATCCGGATAAACGCTAAACGGATTGGAACTCTAAATCAAATCGTAATGCCAATTTTGCTTCTAAAAACTGACTTTTACAAAAGAATAAAGAAGTGCGTTTATACAAGAATTTTGCAAGAATTCTTTTTCTTATTGAAATATAAAGTTTCTTAAGCCAAATTATATAATAATCTTGGGATTTTATTGGACAAATTTTGTGGTATACAACATACCGTAAATGTGCGTATACAAGATTCCCTGAAATAGTAGACCACCATGAATCAGACCTGGGTCTATAATGTAGATTAAGATTTTAACGGAATGTAGAAGATCTGGGTATATTGCAAGAAACAATAATCAAAAGACGCGAGTCTTGTATACGCACATTTACGGTATTAGTCACACGTTTTGTCACGACAGGTGGAAATTTGCAATAGGCCTTTTTTTGCAAAAGTTTTCTAAAAATAATTTAATTAATCCAATAGAAGAATCTGCTACCGGTCTGTTGATTTCTATGTGTAGCATAAAATATCTAACCAATCGAATTTGTTATATTTAGAAAACCAATTTTTTCTAAGTTGCATCAGTTTTTCTAGAAATTCAGGCGTAGAGTCCAATCCGTCATCCGTTTATCCGTATCTAATTATCCGAATAATTCAAATCGTTCAGATATCCGGATAATCTGACAGGTATTCGGATAATTATTCGGATATCGATATAAATGGATAGTAAATGGATATCCGAATAAATTCAGACCCGGATATCTGATAGTTATCAGATAAATGCTTAATGGATTGGAACTCTAATTTAGGCGAAGATATCTTAATAACGACCTACCAAATTTAGTGAAAATTTTTCTATTTGAATTATACGTATATATGAATATATAGGTAGAATTCAAATAATATTTTTTAGCAAATTTGATCAGGCGGTGTTGAGATATATTTGCTCAAAGTTTTTTTTTAAAAAAACAATAACTATTAAATAAAAGCTATATCAAATTTTCTATACTTATTTCTTTAAACTAATCTTGAATAAACTGAATACTCTAAACTTTTATTAATAAGTTTGCTTAAAATCAGTAAATATTATATGAAATTTTAAACCTATTTCATTAATAGGCTTCAAGAATTTAGTATAGTAAGAGTTAATCTTGTTACGAATCACTTTTAATAAAAATATTATTTTAGCTATTTTGTATAAAATTTAAAAAAATATCAATATAAAGAATAAAGAATTAGGAAAATTATTTATTATACTGTAGTATAATATTTTAAAATTTATAATAATACTCGTAGTGTATAAAGGTAAAAGGGTCTATAATTTATATTAAACTATTATTATTATAGAAATTTTAAAAATAATACAAAATAGTTTTAAAATTTCTATTTTAACAATACTAAAGTATTTTGAAATTGCAGTAAGTTTTTTTTTATTAAAAGTCAAAAGGTGGTTTTATAATTATAATTTTAAAAAATTGTCAATATTTTTTAATATTTATTATAAAATATATTTATAATGATTTTGCATCTATCATATGTTTTATAGAACCTAGATATTTCTAATATAGGTTATATCTGAAAGTTTTAGCAAAACTTTTGTAAATTTAAAAAGCAAAAAAATACTTTTTTGTAAATATCTTAGCAACTAGTAATCCAATTTAGATAAACTTTTTCATTTATTATAAAACACACCTATGATGGTTTTTCACTTATTATATGTTTTATTATGTTTTTTAAATTTTTCTAAGTTTTGAATATAAAAGTTTTTAATACAAAATTTTTATGTTAGTGTTAGTATTTAGAGTTTGGTTAAAGTTTGGGAAGAGTTTTTAAAGATGTAAAAAACTTTTACTTAAAACATCTTGTATTGATTAATTAGCCAGTTTTTGAAATAATATATATACAGATATAAAACATCATAGGTGTGTTTTAGTAAAAGTTAACTTTTTTTTAAATAAAAGTTTTTAATAAAATACATCTTTTAAAAAATGTTTATTTAATTTTGATTACTAAAATTTAAAATATTAAAAAAAAGTAAATTTTTAGTTTTTAGCAAATTAAATTAAAATTGGCTAAAATTTAGTTATAATCTATATAAGAGATATTTAAAGTTTTTGTTTTATTATATTTTTTAGATTATTTAATACAAAATTCTTATATTAGTATTTAGAGTTAAAGTTAGAGTTTGAAAAGAGTTTTAGAGATATAAAATATTTTTATTTAGAATATCTTGTATTGACTAATTAACTAATTTTTAAAATAATTTATATATAGATATAAAATATTATAAGTATGTTTTAGCAAAGTTTTTTTTAAAAAAACAATAATTTTATATTATATCTAATTATACAATTTGATTGGCCTATATTATTATATATATATTATATATATATTATATAAAATTTAATATTTTATTTGTCTAACAAACTTATATAATCATAAAAAATTTTTTTTTGTTCTTTTTTTATATATTATAATTATTCTAATATAGTTTATCCTTATTATAGTCACTTTTAATTTTTTTTTTTTTTTAGTATTAAAATAACCTCTATAGCTAGGAACTTTTTATTGAATTATTAATTTTGAGTTATAATGAGAGAACATCAAGTTATATATATATTTTTGGTGCCTAATTTAAATAGTCCACTTGAGGATTCTATACTATCTGCTATGTCTGCACCCTAACTACAAGAAATATCTATTTAAACTCTCTGGTCACAACTACTATCTATTACTAATCTAACCAAGATATAACTTACTATTTATATACTAGATTTTATAATATCTGTAGATTTTATGCCTACTTTAGAATTTACTAACTATTTCTGGCTTAGGGCTTCTAGGTTCAGTTCAGGTTGTTCGGGTTCAGTCGAACTTCTGAACTCAAACCAAACTGAACCATAACATTTGTGCAAATTTTGAATCTGAACTGAACCCTAATGGTTGAAGTCTGAACCTGAACTAGACTCGAACATGAAGTTATGCTCGGTTTGAGTTCAGTTCGAAGTTCACGAACTTGTTCGGGTTTGAATAGGTTTTTTTTTTTTTTTTTTTTATTTAAAATTTTTTATTTATTTATTTAATTTAATATTTTTTTTATTAATTTATTTTTTATAAATCTAATCTATAAACTGTGCTTGTATGTATAACAGATTATGCATAGTCTAATACTAATTTAAAAGTCTATCAGCTGTAGCATATATATAAGGTAAGATTATTGATACAAAAATTATTTTTAAAATAAAAATAAGTTCTTTGTCTGTGTATTTGGAGGAATTTGATAATAACCAATATAATGACTATGA